TTTTTGTCTCAGATGTTCTGAGTTTATGCCATACCTGGCAAACACTAACTTTTTGAATTCAGCATAATCTTTAATTAATTCGATTGGCATCTCCGCATATATCTCAGCCAGGCCTCCACTAAATTGGGCTCTCAATATAATCATCTTTTCAGATTCCCTCACTTGAAAATCCTCACACGCTCTTTCATACATCACAAGGAATGACTCTGGATCATCTCCCTTCCTAAAAATTGGGAATTTCTTCAGGTCTGCCTGTTACGCTTCTGGCGCAGAGTAAATGAAGACACTTTACCAGCTCTTCTTTGACGGTTATATTTACATATATGTACACTTATATACAGGCAGGTCTCTACAGCACATCTAGAAGTCTTCACACAGTCCAACAGCATGCGTGGCAGAAAATCACATCAGAAGAAGAGAACATTTTACAGACACAGTCCATATTTATACATAATCTTGTCTTTGTCCAGTCCAATCGGGTTCCAGGTGACCTCATCTCTGCACCTGGGCTCTTTCTGGTTTGACCTCATTGCATCAGCTTAGGATGATTCAGCTTTTCTCTCATCTGCACATAATGGCAGCTCGTTAATGAAACATATATGGGTTCAGGCCTATAAAATTTTATACCCTGACACCCCTCCTAATTTTTATGCCTGAACACAGCATAATCCCAACACATTTACACATTATTTTTTAACTTTTAATTTTAACACATACTTGTTACCTGTAACATCTGTGTGTTCTGTATGCACCTTTGCATCTGTGAACACCTTACATTTCTTCATGTATTCCATTTTCTCATCCATGGTCCTTAACCATTTTCTTTTTCAAAAGCAGGAAGTTCTAAAACTTCTTTGTAATTTTTTTGGTTCTATATAAACATGACACACTCTCACACCACCCATTCCAAACCTCTTGGGTGGTATACCCTTGTTTGTCCTTTGGGACCTTCTGGGACCTTGTGTTTCTGTCTGAAACTGACTCCCCTCAGAGCAGGCTCCCCTATTGTTATTATTGTTTTGATTTTCCAATTCTATTCTTCTGAGTTCAAAAACCATCCTCTCTTTCTCTAAGGCAATCTTCTCTCTCTCCATTTCTGCATCCATTTCTCTCTGCCTCAGTCTTTCTTCCATTTCTAAGGCCAGTTTCTCTTTTTCTAGCTCCACCTGTCTTTCCTCGGCTCTGGCCTTCATTTCCAGCTCAAATTTCCATTTTCTGAACTCTAATGGTTCTTCCCTTAAGGGCTCTCCCTCCTGAGCTGAGGCAAATCCTTCTTCAAAATCCCCATTTTTCTCATCTGATCCAACTGCTGTTTCACAAGGCACCTGTTCAGTTTTCTTGCCTCTAGTCAAAGGCATTTTCCTCTCTTAAGGCTTATTATTCACTTTTAAAAGCCTTGATTTTAAAAGTCCACTTTTTCCCTGTCAGTGAGTGTCTGTGTTACAATTTAGCTTCCAGCACTCATTCACTGGCAAGCTAGCTACTGTTACTAGGCTTCAGCCTCCAGCTAGGCCTCCCACCAAAGACAGAATTTTTCTTTCTTCCTCAGGCCACAAAATTTTAACAGCTTCCCCCTGTCCCAGGCTTAGCTGTTTTGAGTCCTCGCAGCCTCACTGCCCTTGGCTCTGCTTTGTTCCCCTCAGAGTTCTCCATTAAACTCCGGACACGCTAGCCAAACTGCCACAGATTTCAGCTTTGGGCAACTCTCTCCACAGAAATGGTCACCACAGAGGTTCCCTGTCTTAGTCCCCAATCTGAGGTCCCGCACCCTTCTACTAGACTCGCTCCCCGTGAGACAAGTCCTAGAAGGTTACCCACTCATTCACTCAGACCTCCCTGACTAAAGACCCCTGCTCTGGCACCTTTCCAGCCAAGGCTTCACTGGATCTTTGAATCCCACCACTGGACACCAATTTTATTGTGACATAGCAGGCCATTCTGATGTCACCCCCAACTCAGGCCTCTCAGAATACCCACCATGCCACTTCACATTCGCTGCCACCAATTGTAATGACTATTTAAGAAGGACAAAGGTTTCCTTCAAAACATAACAGGTTTGTTGAAATAACAAAATAAAATATGAAAATCACAAGAAGCTAATCACGATGTCAATCACTGTTTCCTATTTAATCAATCACAGACTTTCCCTCACTGAACACTTCAGCACTCAGGCCTCTAAACAAGCTCTTTCTCTCTCACACTCCAGATCTGGTCTCTCACACTCTCTTCACACCCCTTTTTCTTCCAGCTCCTCCCTCTTCAGCCCCACCCTCCGTCACCCCATTGGCTGATGATTCACTGCCCAGCTGTGACGGAGAGGTGAGGTCAGGGCTGCCTGTTACAGCTTGTGATAAGGTATGGTCACAAGAATAATGAAGAATATGTCTATCAGAGTAAAAGAATATTGTTATAAGTAGCATGGAGATGGTACAGTGGTGCCTGGACTTATGAACACTCCTACATATGAACATTTTGACTTACAAACAGCTTCAACATGCGAATGGAGCTTCGACTCACGAATAAAAAAAGTGGGCCAGCAGAAGAATCAATGTATTACTGGAGAGGTATGGGGTGAAATGGGATATAAATTGGTATTACTGGTCATCTACTCTCAAGAGTGAAGGTGGCACAGGTGGGGAGAGTCCAATATGTGTTGTATGCAGTTATTATTGTATTTGTATTTTAGTTTTAATATCAAATCATATTTTTTTAAAAAAGAATACAGAATAGCTCATTGGATAACATTAGCTTACATCATGTAAGGTTTATAGGTTATAGTTCATTAATTAAGTTCCAGCGTGTCTATTCTGATGTACGGTCACAATATCCAAGGTTTTCTAGTAATAATGTTCCCAGAAGTGTTTTATCATTTCCTTTCTTCTATGATTTATCTGATTGCTTCTCCAGAGAGTCCTCAAAAGTCAGGCACCAAGTTACTACTCTGCAGAAACACACTAGGTAGTGGTAGGGGCTTTGGATATGGGTGCTGTCGTCCAAGGTGACTTTATTGATTTAAAGATAATATATGTTAGTTATACTGGTTTATCGATTTTAAGATACTCATTTATATATTAGATTGTATTATTCTTTTAATGTTATTTGCTATGACTATGTTGTGAAATGTCCAAAGTATGCTTGCATGATGTAGTGGTATACAAGTTCAAATCTACTGCCTGAACGGCATTGTCTTCTTTTTGGAGCCATATGGCTCAAGTGCTGCCAGGTGAGCATGCTTTATTACTGTTCCATCTTGGCAATAAATCAGCCTATTATTCAGCCCAGAGGGATTAGTTTCTGGTGGTATCATAGCCACTGGAGAACCTGGAGGGATTACAGGTGGCAGCTGTGACGCATGTGTCAGAATCAGGAGCTCTTTAATGCTTGAGAAGAGGTACTTCACAATGCTCTTTGCAATGATTTTCCCAATAGCTTTGGGACATCCACAAACATAACAAGAGCAAGAACATCAAATACAAATTACCACTGTGTTTCAATTGTTGCCTCTCTTGTCTTCCTTCCAGATGTTGCTAAGCATGCCCTCACATTAGCGATGGGGAAATCCGCATCGCAATGCAGATTCATCGTTGAACGGTGCGCTCGTTATGCGAGGCACCACTGTAAATAAATAAATAAATAAATAAATAAATAAATAAATAAATAAATAAATATTAGCATCAGAAAAGTATCTGAATGAGCTGATTAGAGCTTATTTCCAAGACTTAGATCCTTTTCCAGTCTTTTCACAGCCTAGTGTCATCCTTCTTTACTTCTTATATTTGTTGCGCATTTGTGTGAATCACCATATTGTTATTAGCATTATTTTATTACTATCTTTCTTAGTCAGTGACATTTCTCTTCTCCATTCAATTGTTTGTATATTATTTCATTTAGTTCAGATCTCATTTTTATTCCAACTTGTGTCAGGGTGTTTTTTTTTCCTGTCTTTACTTTCTTTTTGTCTCCTTCCACCTATGTGCATTGTTTCTGTGAGTGTCTTAGTACATATCAATTAGTTACAAAGAGAATACATTTTGATGGACAAGCACAAATAATAGCAAATGTTAAGCATGTAAAAGAAAACTGCAGAGATGACCAAAGAAGTACAGTCAGACTTTTTTTCCTCCCAGGCACGGGTAATTACCTGTGAATCCTCTACTTCAAAATTTTGTACCCTTCTATGAAAACAAACAAACAAAAAACATTGTTCGTTTTGATTTTCCCATGCAGTCAGTAAGATTTCTGAATTACGATTTTGATTCAAATTGGTTTAGATGAGGCTTGACTCAATCTAGACCAAATGAGAGCCTTATCAAGGAGCTCTTTTACAACTCTAATTCCTGTTGTTGTCACAACTCTTTTTCTAATTTCACTCTGTATTTCTCCAAAAATATTATTACACTACACGTGTTTAAACTGGTTATGATCCATAGGTTTTCCATTATACATTGCACATTTTGCTACTGATAGTTTTGGGGAACAGAAATCTTACCTAAGCCATGCCTATGGGTTGACATTGGAGGCAGGACAGTCCATGCCTTGGTCTTTGGATTGTAACATTCAACAGTGTTTAAAGTCTTTAAGCCATCCCGACCTCCAATAACAAAGAGTTTGTCATCAATGACAGCTACGCCAAATTGCAGCCTTCTACCATTCATCACTCCAGCTTGGATCCATATATTCGTCCTGAGATCATACTTCTCTATAGTCGTAGCACCTGCTAAGAAACATCAATAATGCCATTAATTACTAAAAGTAATACTACATGGAGTTATGCCACTGGCTTAGTCAAAAATGACCATTCTTCTAAGATTTTTCTCTCTCCCTCTGCCATTTATTAACAGGGAAAAACAATGTCTATAATAACATAACTTTATAAATTATTGGCTGAAATTATATTTAGCAACTACACTTGCAGAGGCACATTGCACAGTTGATCATGATGGGGAAACATATAACTTACCACACATAGTGAACTTCCATAATCATTGCTGCCTGAATATAATGCCCAACAAAGTTACATTTGCACATCTTTACATTATGTGGCAACATACAGAATACAGGCCATCCTTACTCTTCAGAAAAGTGTGTGTGTGGGGGGAAACCTGAGTAATGCTGGAAAATCATAGAATCATGAATCCTAGTAATAGTGTGAACACATTTATTATTTATTATTCATTTTTATTTAAAGCATGTATTTCTGTTCATCTTTTTTTTCCTGATCACAGGGCCCCCAATGCAATGTGCAGTAAAATAAATAAAATCATTCTTTTAAAAGGGTTTAGAAGCTAATTTTAAAACTGGATGCAAAAGGAGAAAAAATTGCAAAATATATAATTCCTTACAGCCTAGGTAATGGAGTATACGTGAGTATGTTTACTTTAAATGATGAAAATTCACATTTAAATAAACTTTTTTTTGCTTTAAATTTCTAAGGTCTAAACTTGAAGGTGTGTATTAACTTTCTACCAGACCACCACTTGTTCCACTTGAATCAAAAGCTTCACACAAAGGAATCAAAAGCTTCACACAAAAATAAATCATATTTCAGCAGCTACCACATTTCAGACTTCAGACTCAAGAGAATAAAATAATGCAATCTACATTTTTGTGGATAAGATATTTAAATGAGCTGAATTTAAAATATTGTAGTGGAAGAATTATTTGTATTAACCAAATTTGTTTTGTGCCTTATTTTCACATCCACAACCATCACACTTTCTTTCCAACTCATTCAATAACCCTATAGAGAAATTTCTATTTATTATAGCTTGCAAATACATTCAAATCTATATCACAGTGTGAAAAGAATGTTATTCAATGTTTTCTACATATATTTGAGTAGGTTTGCTTGTATTTGTTTCTGAAAAAAATGCTTCAGAAAATAAATAGCATTTGTCTAACCAAAAATAAACTTGGTTAAAGATAAAGATCTTAATTTTAAAAAGAGATGTAATTTGAACTCTAGTCATATCCCAGAGCGTCAGAACAATAATAATCAAGATGCCCAACCAGATATATTAAATTTCCTTCTAATTTGCTCAGCTACAAGAAATATGAACTAATTTGTGCACTCAATTATTCTGAAGTGATGTTTTCCCCAGTGCTTAATTCAGAACTGAAATGTATATAAATGAATTAATTCACTAATTACTGTATAATGAACCAAGTGCAGCATTCTTTTGTAGTTGTTTATTGCAAAGTGAGCTAATGTGACACACTCTAATTGAAAATTTCACACACAGTGCCAACTGTCTAGGAATAATTTTTGTTTTTAAAAATATAAACCACATCACTGAAAACAATGGCAAGCACTGTGAGATCTTTTGTGAGAGCCCTTTTTAAACATGAGCAGTAGTAACAAAATATTATAGTTTGCATTAAAAACCTGGTAGTTTTCCACAAAATCCACATATGCAAGTTTTTCACAAAGAAGTCTTGAAAAGAAAAGAAAAACCCTCTTTCAATCTCTCCAATCAGGGATCTTTTTTTAAAAAAAAATTCATTGTCATTTGCAAGGATAAAATGATGGAAGGTTTATTTACATCCCTAAGTGAACAGCAACTTGCATTAGTTAGAATATCTTCTGAAACATGTTTCTATCAACAAATGGAGATAGAATGCCAGAAATGTTTCTTTTGCTGCTGGCTAGGCTCTTTTCTTTTTCTCCTTGATATCTGTGTCAATAACCCAGTTCAATCACATTTGTTCCACCTCAACAGATTTCTTTTTATTTCAGCATATACCGTTGCAGATCACTAGGCCAAGGTCATCAGTTTGCACCTTCTGGAAGCAGCATCTCTAAATCTTGAACAAAATGGTCTATGCTGCACATCAGCAGCAACTGTAACAGGAGCAGAATCAGCAGAAATCACTTCAGGGGAAAAATGAGTTACAGAGCCTGTTGCAATAACAGAGTAACTGAACAGTGATTCACTCCTAAGCTGTTTCTATGTTGGACATTAAGGTCATGCAACTGATTCAGTCAAATCATGAAATGAACTGGAGAAATTCAGACTGGATCCTAATTAGACTGGATTTGTCCAGGCTGGATTGATTCAAACCAATCCAGACTCTTTTGGTGATCAAACCAGTCAAAAAACATATAAGGATAATTCAAGAGTCTGGAGATAATAAGCTAGATTTTACTAATTGACAAATTTAACTTCCAATCCAGAGTGTGTGTGTGGGGGAGAATAAACAGAACAAAATTCTTGTGCTTAACTGTTTAAAATTTGGCAGCATTAATCTCCACAGTGGCTGTCACTTCCCCCAATTTCATATAGTTGTTTTTTAAAAAGTTATGACTATTTTGGTTACCCAATTCAAATTCATGGTAGAAGAAAAGATTTTGATAACTTAATTTCAATAAATAAATTCCAAATCAATGAACCAGTCACAATCTGAATCACTGAATCAGAACTCTGAATGAAATCAGATGATCCATACACAGCTCTACCTCAACAGTCTTATTTAGAGCAGACCTACTGAACTGCTCTATTTTAAAAACACCCAAGTTTGGATCTAAGCCATGGATATTTTTTCTCTGCTACACTAAATACTCACCAAACATTTAAAATGAGAACTGCTAAAAACAACCTCCTAGTCCTATGTTTTCACCAAATTCCTAAAGACTTATACTGAGAAAATGCCATATAGCTGGATTAAGCCACCAAAACAATATATAAAGAACTTGACAAAGCTGGCTGAATAGCTCAGTGGTTTAAATAGCTGGCTCTGGAGCTAGAGGTTGTGAGACTAATTCCCCACTGAGCCTCCTGTGAGCAGAGGCAGGCTGTGTGGCCTTGGGCAAGGTGCACAGTCTCAGGACACCCTCAGAAGAAAGGCCAAGCAAACCTATGCATTCTGAAAAGGGTCACAATAAGACATGGGGATGAATAAAAAAACAAATCATGATATTCGTTCATAAACACTGATTCATTAAATATTCATCCCTTCATATTTATCAGTTCCAGAGAATCACTTCCTATGATAAACTTTCATAGCAAAAGCATGGCTCTTATATGTGGGGGGGATGCCCCTCCCCGAAGTTGCTAAGCTGTTGGCTGATTCTATAGTAGTAGAGAACACTCTCCTGATGATGTCACAGCTGCATCTGAGAGGAGGCGTGGCTACTACCTATTCTTCTTCGTTTTCATGATAGGGAACTAACTTCAAAAGCCTTTCATTTGAGCCAATCCTGATGGAATTGTGTAATCACTGTCCTATCAGTATACTGTCAACTATCTGTGAGTTTGTAAGGTTAATAAACACAATCCTCCTGGGGGCAGGGCAGTCTTATTCGAGGTCCTCTTCTCCTAGTTGCCCATCAGGAGCACTGCTGGCAGACATCCTTCTGTGTGTGTGGCTGACTTCTTCAACTTCTCTCTCTAAGACTATTTGCTATCCTAATTACTTGTGACTACATGAACTATCAGCCTTCTCATTTTGTGACCCTACACTTATATAAAGGTCTAAAGGACCAATTAAGGTCTCTTTCGTGTTTTGGATAAAATGATAATGATGATAAATTTTAGATAGAAATGTTGCCCTTTCTGTTTCAAGCAGTGTCATCATGCCTATGAGAGAAATAAAAGTGTTTCTCAGTTCCTCTCAGAGAGGAACTGAGAGAATCTAACCTGGAGAATCTAACCTGATAGGATGACAAACCTATTATCCCTTCTAGCCCAAATTTTATAAGAGCCATCCAAAGTCCTAGCCCCTGTCCCCAAATGCAGGTTCTGCACTTCAGATAAGCCTTTTTATGTAATGGTTGTAACTGTGCATGTTGGCAGAAGAGATTGTGTTTGGGGTAAAAAAAATCTTGTTTGCAGGTGGGATCAGTGTCTTAAGATGGCAAGAAAACCCTTTGCTGTCTTTAATTAATACAGCTAATCTCTTTCTCTTTCTCTCTCTCTTCATATGTGTGTTTTAATCGATTAATTCTTCAACTGAATTATTTTATAGGTTTTTTTTCCTGTGTTCTTCTCAAGACTATGATTCATTAGAAGTCAAGTTAGCCTAGGGCCTTGATTCCAAAAGATTCTTTCTCCTTTTCAATCACAGTATCTATGACATTATTACTTTTCCTGCCACTCAACATGCCCCCTTGGTGTTTCTTCTTCTGGAACAATGAAATAAGCTGAATCACCTGACAAGAGATCAATCAGTGTTCCACATTTTATATAAAACTATTCAATTATTTATTGCGATATCATTTTCTCTTCCACTTTTATTTTCCTCTATATTCATATTATAGTTTAGTCCCTGAATATGATTTATTCTCTAGATTCTGTTGTGTATTTTGGGATTTCAACCTCCTGTTTTAAAAAAGAAGTCAAAATCTAACAGTCTTCACAAGATACTTCACAAGATACAACTTCCTTATTACCCAAACACATCTGGAAAATTTAGAGACACCCACAGATTTCCAAGTGATTTAAGTATTTTATATTTTATAATCTGCAGAATATCTGGACGAATCTGAGCAAGCATACCAGACAAAGCAAAAACAAAAATTTTATACCACCTTAAAAATTAACTGTTAAACTGCAATATGAGCTTTCATGGATTATGTCCACTTCTTCAGACACTGGACCAAGAATACATGACTGGTATTTTTATACACAGACCCATCAACTTGGCAATAGACAAAGTGACAATGGTTTATCAGCACAGAGAAAATAACTAAACTGTCACATTCAGCTGTCAGCTAAGACCACTCATGTGCATCCACAAGCCTTGTTTTTGTTTTGCCATTGTTAATTTAATAAATAAATAAATAAATGATTTTGTAACTGATATAACACATTTCTTTGGTTCTACAAAGGTCCTGCATTAATTAATTATTTGTTTTTAGTTTTTTTTAAAAATCTACAGGAAACTATTTTTGATACAAATGAATCTGGCATGCATGATGTCACTAGATGAAAGAAAAAAAATGAGAGCCAGAGTAAATGGTAATTAGAGAAACATATCTTATAACTTTTTCTCCCTAGTAACGTATTCTACTTTGTTAAGCATGACTTCAGAACTCATCATTCAAAAGAAACTGTTGATAATCCCAGTCTTTCTCCTTTAAGCATGTTTTCACAATTACAGGGAGAGAGACACAGTAGCTCAAAATTTGGCAGCATCTATACTTCCTCCTTTAGCCCTTCTGCTAACTGACTCTTAAGTGTACAGAGCATTCAAACACCTGCCTCCCACTTACTACACTGTAACATATTGAAACAATACACTTAACTGCAAGCCTCTCTTATTCAAAAAATGCTAGTGGCTGCATGCATATATACGATGGCGGAGAAGTACATAATTTGCACAAAGTGTCACAGGATGGCAATTGAAATGATCTTCCATCAAGCAGAAAGAAGGCAGCATGGAACATAGCCATCTTTGTTACTGAGCATAAAGCATTTCATTTCATCAACTGCCAGACCTAGATTATGACTCATTTCTCCTTGAAGGATATGAACTAAAATCTGTGGAGCAGATTAAACAGAAACCAGAAAGTGGCATGGGAACATCTATAATCACTACTGCTGTTAATTCTCCCACATTTGAATTTTGTCGAAGTTGGTATATGTATTCTGCTATTATATATATATGTATGTATATATGTATATATACATATACATATGCATACTGTATGTATGTATGTATATATATATGTATGTGTGTGTGTGTGTGTGTGTGTGTGTGTGTGTGTGTGTGTGTGTTACATATATATTCATATATACATATATATACACATACTGTAATTCTCATGTATCTCTATTGGAGGGTTCCAGTACCATCCCCTCACACACACTTGGATGGCTGAGAAGGTACAACTACTATACTACATTCCAGGCACAGATATCAAGAAGGCTACTAATGGAAGAATGGGAACCTAGGGCTGATAGGTGTAGAATGAAAACAGTCTTAGATTACAGAAAAGGAACTTCTGGGAATAGGGATTTTTGGACAGTTACTTCCCTCCCACACACACACACACTGTATTAAATTCTCAATCCATTGCCAGAACCTCTTCAAGGATTGTGATAAACTAACAGAGAGTATATTTTCTAACAGTCACTCAGATCACCAACTCCCTAATCAGCTTCTACTAGTCTCGTAGTCTCCATTTGATTCTGTATGAGTGTGGCAATGGGGATGGGAGGCGGGAGACTGAGTCCTGGTTTTCCATGCAAGTCTCTAGAAGCAACACATTCTCTGCAAAGGGAACAACTGACATTTGTTTCTGTCTGGTGGGCTGTGAGTTGCTTACCAACTGCTATACATGCACTGCTGTTATAAACTAACTGATGCTTTCTAAGCGTGCGGAATGTGTATGTCATTAGTTCATTATATTATGATTGATAAATAATGGTGGAGTATCCATGATTACTATAGGAGTACCTGTTGGCATTGCTTTATTAGATTTTGCTTCTTTAGCTGTAGCACTGACTTTGTTGCTGTCTGAGCATGGGATTGTAGTTCAGCAGCCCAGCATAACAGTTGCTGAGCATCCTGGGATCTGACATTCATATTGCCTATGCATAAAATTTAAATCTAGTTATGTCCAAGAGTGATATGTTGCAATAATCTGCAAGGTATGATTAGGCCATTCAAAGTTTATAGCTTGAACAAACCTGTTGATTAAACCTAAGTCAGCCAATCGAGAGAAACGAGTTTTTCTTTTTCAGCACAGACACTCTGCAACTATCTCACTACATATCATGTCAAATACCATGAGGGGGAAAGAAAACACTCCTACTCACCATCCCACCCATGCCTCTTATATTTTATCAGCTGTCTTTAAAAAATAACAACTATTAACTAGTACCTTTGTTATTGTCCATTCCTCCAACAGCATATAGGATCCCAACTGTGGATTTTCTAGGCTTCGTTCTTGGGCTTTGCATAAGAGTTCGTCTTTCTGGCAAAAGGTGATATTTCATGGCTTCCAGAATCAGCTTCTGACACTCCAAGTCATCTTTAAAAAGTGCATGGTTTTCTAGGTCAGCTAAAATCTGTAAATTATATGAGTTAGGATTTAGTAATGGCACCCTGTACTATATAGCCCATTCCTCAGAGTCATCTTAAAGAATATGCTTTAGTGACGCAAATGGGTTAGCAGATAATCTTGAGGTGGGCAGTCTAACAAATAGACCAAACAAAAACAAAAACCCACCAGAGGAATGAGAAACTAGATTTTATATATAGAACATTGTGACCATTGTACTGCAGTGTATCATAATGGAATATAAAGCTTCAGGGAAAGCTGGCATGTGTTTATATTAGTCAGAACTCAGCAAAACCAATCACATGTTGTTTATACCATTTCCAAATTGCACATTGGACCCATCCTCCACCATATGAGAAAATCCTGCACTAGGAAACTAGATACAGTGGTGCCTTGCATAGCGATCACTCCGTTTAATGAAGAAATCACTTTGCGACGATGTTTTTGCGATCGCTTTTGCGACTGCTCAGCGATGGTCCCTATGGGGAAAATTTGCTTTGCGATGATCGCAGGGAAGCAATCATCGCAAAGCCCCTATTTTCGGCCAGCGGATCGGTGGTTCCAAAATGGCCACTGGGTAAACAAAATGGCCGCCCACTGTGCTGCCTCGCTTTAGAGGCACCGAAAATGGCCGCCCCTATGGAGGATTTTCACTTAAGGTTAGTTTTTAAGCCCATAGGAACACATTAATGGCGTTTTAATGCGTTTCTATGGGCTTTTTAATATTGCTTAGCGATGAAATCGCTTAGCAGCGATTTTTGCTGCACGGATTAACATCGCTAAGCGAGGCACCACTGTACTGGTCAGAAAGATTAGCTCCCATTTGGATCTACTTTTTAGGCCATAAAAGGGCATGCAATTTTGGAATTGGAGGTATCTAATTTTCAAGAAGAAATTCACAGGAGTTCTTTAAAGCCGTCAGCTTCTGATTGCCCTCATCTCCTCTTTTCCTTTCCTTTAGGAGCTCCATTGACTTTCTCATCCTGAAAATTGTGTGTTCCAACTTTATCTGAAGGAGTGCTTGATAGGTATGCATGGTTCCTAAGACAGATAATGTATAAAAGTGCCTGCTTTAGGTTTGCAGCAAGTTTGTCTACCAGTGGCCGACATTCAGACAGGACTCTCTCAAACACACTCTCATCTCTTGCCAGCCCTCTAGCAAGGAAGAAACCAAAGACTGGATGGGACTGAAAACTGGTTTGTGAGATTTCTAAATACCTTCAGTTTGATGATGAGATGTACAACTTGTTTGCATTCTTCAGACACCTATCAATTCTAGTGGAAATTGATTTGCACACACCTGTGGATTAAAAATTATGGTTTGGGAGATGTGGGATAAAAGGAGTCATATGCAAAGTTTCCCTGGGCTGACATGAACTGTGAAGCCCCTTTTCCATTTTGGGTCATAGCACAAGGAGCTGGAGAAAGAGGCCATGTTTTGTAGTTCATGTAGAGGGATTTGGGTGTTGGATCCTAGGCAGGTTCTGTTTAAACAGCGGTTCCCAACCTTAAGTCCCTACAACTCCCAGAAATCCTGGTTAGCAGAGGTAGTGATGAAGGCTTCTGGGAGAACATAAGGTTGAGAGGGGAAAAACACACTGAACATGCTTTTGGTGGGATGAGTTCCAAATGTAATGAACAACTGTGGAGCAGGGAATTTTTAAATTTAAAAGCTGGGTGAACAGTTTGGGAATATGTAACATGCATTTAGTTATTTACAATCTTGCCTTTTAAATTGCTTTTAGCGTTTTTAATGGTGTTTTAATACAATAACACATTTTATTGCTGATTTTTACATAGCCAATAGTATTGATGTTGTTTCATTTTGATTTCTTATACACTGTCTTGATGACTTCTGTGGAAGGGCAATATAAAATATTATAGAAAAACAAACAAAAGACAAAACAGTATGCGTAAATGGTGGACTATAATAAGTAAAATGAAGAGCATTATGAAACTGAATGTTGGAATATAATCTTTGCTTTGAATACAAAGCTGACAAAGAAGCCAGTTAATAAGGAAGAATTGATATTGATGGTATGACAAATAATACCATACCAAGCCCAAAATAAAAGACAAAATATATAATAGTGAATAAACATGTCAGGAGCAGAAGTGCAAAGAAAGAGATGGAACTCAGATAAAAAATGTTAACTCAAACAATACTTTGGAACATAGGTGTCTTACAATCTGTACCTTGTCTTCCAAACAATGTTTAAAATTCTATTTATTTTACTTCTTTCATTTTTTATCTTTTAAATCTTCCCTAGAATACTCTTCTCAAGCCTGCCAGGTAATGAAGCTGAGAGACAGGAGCCTTATTCAAACATTGCATGCTCAAAGCAGATAGGGGTGCAATTATGATGGGGAAGAAGATATATGTGTATGTCCTATTCCTCAATACTTCCCATATGTATGCCAATAAAAGCTTTCTGCATTCAGTGTGAAGATGTAAATAGGCACTTGTAAGCATCCTTATTTGATCAGGTGCTTATAGATATCTCCCCAAACATCTCAGATGAATATACGAATGTCATATAAACATATCTGGGTGCTCGTACTGTGGATAGGACTTGCATGCACCTCTACATCTCCACTACCATTTCAGTCCTACCTGCTTTCAGGCTCCAATGCCTGAATAGGGTTAGTAACTAGCATAGTATCACTGAGTCACCTTCATATCTAAGAAAGTAAACTAGACTTTCTCATATAAGTTCACTGTTTATTCCTCATACCACATTGGCTTTACAGGGGGATTTACAATGAAATCCCTGGTCAACCTATTTAATTAATGATTGAGCAGTGTCTCAAACTTCTACCCATAAAAATCACACTCGTAAAAGCCAAAGTATTCTAGATACTACGTTTATAATAGGGAAAAAATGGGTTGGATGGAATTTATTCATTCTGTTAGATCTGAAAGATTTATCTCAAATCTAATGTCCATCCTAAATAAATGATTTTGACAACAGCACTACCAACAAAAGCTTAACTGTGTTTGTGGGTAACAGTAAAAATATATAACTAATTTTACTATCTTTCTGAGATAATAAATTTTCTCAGATAATATTTAAAATTATGGCTGTTGCTGATGCTGTAAAAATCTCTCATGCAATAAATTAACCCACAACATTGGCTCCATAAGCCAGCAAAGCAAATATTAGGCTCTTGGCCCTATGCATTTTATCTTCCCAAAATGTTACATGGAATACCTAAATTTAATTAGTTGCTGCCCTAGCTCTATTATAAACTTCCCTTATATGTTATATATCCCCAGAGAGGATTGAATATATGGCTTGTTTAGAAATAAATAACAGAACGTCTTACCACATTTTCTACCATGGGCAAAGGTGGCATTTTAGTTTCCTTCTCTGCAACATTTAAAGATAAAATATCTATCTTCCAGTTTCCCACTGTTGTGTGTTTGCCAACAACCCAATGCAACTGACACCCATAGTCAATTACATGAAGTAATTACACCACCATGCCAGATATAGGGAAGTTATTCTAGGGACTCAGGAGGTGGTGAGGACTCCAGCACTGGAGGAATTCAAGGAAAAGTTAAAGAACCTTCTGTCAGATGTACTTTGATTTGTATTCCTGAACTGAGAAGGGGGTTGGACTCAGTGGTCTTACAGGTCCTTTCCAATGCCATTATTCTATGATATGACTAGAGAAGAAGAGAAACACGAAGCTGCAAATTTGCTGCTAGCTCCAATATTTATTTCAGCTTCTTCCATTCATTTTGAGCACATAAAATAAAACCAGAAGAATCTATTTACTGCTACATATAACTTAACTAGTATTAAAGTTACCAAGAGGAATTGAGGAACTAAACTGCCTTCATCTGCCTGTTTCTCCCTGGGAGGCTCTGGCAAAGAGTCCTTGCCGGCACAGGGATCCACACTGACAGAGGTAAGCTGTTTGGGGTGCCATTTCAGACTGTTAGTCTCTCACAATGAGACACAAATGCAAATATTTTCCCCATCAATTAAGAGAAATGGTACAAATATAAATCTGGCAAAATCATAATGGCAAATTCTTTGTCACATGGACATCTAAGGACTGGAGCGGCTGTTTCTGTCATTTTAAAGAACCAGATGCTGGGTTTCCTGAGCATGTACTGTTTTTAAAAGAAAAGGGCACTAGTTTTGCACAGAGACAGCTTTTGCACACACCTGTTTTTACACAGAGCTAGCTTGGGGTACACTGTAAATCCTCTGATACCCTGGGTATGCTGGCATGGGCTGACAGGAATTTTATGTGAAAAGCATTGTTTGAATGTTCCTGGTTTAAACTCTCATTGCACTGTAATAATAAATTATTGTGCAATTATACTGTTATAAATGTGATTGTTTTTATAACTTTATCTGAAATAACAGGGATGTAAATCCTTGTTTATACTGTCCTCCCAAGCAAGGACAGAAAACTGTAATATTCTCCTCCTTACTTGCAAGGATGGTGAGGAACCTCTTGGAATTCTTGATAGAGTTCTTGATGAGAATGATGGCTTCTGCAGAAACTGTACTTTTTTTTTGCCTATTTCACAAAAAAGTACAGACTAGCCAAGTTTAGAATGATAGCTAAATTATTTAAGAATCTGACACACCTGATTTTACAGTCAGCCAGTCTTCTGTGCTTTGCTTTTTTAGTAGAAAGAAGAGCAGGGACATTTTACACAATGTACAGAGACCATGACCGGGAGGAATTTGGTGTGGCTTTATAGTTCCTCAATGAGGTATTTCAGACATGATGAGATCAAAGAATTCAGTGAGCATTTTTGCCTTCCCTATTGAAAGATGTGTTTAATGAGTAGAGAAAAAAATTCTCTGCTTTAGGAATAAATGAGAGAAACAGTGGTCAGAAATGCCCAAATTTTATATATACAGTATATTCTTTAAATGCTACTGACTTGGTAAGTTTTATATTGTTTTGCAGTATTTGTTTCCACTGATCCAAACTTATATTGTGCCCAATATTCTGTGGCTACCTTATCATACATTCCTT